ACCCCGCCCCGCTCCACCCAGCCTTGCCACCACACTGCCCCCCAACCCCCTGCCGCGCCCCACCCGTCCCCAGCCCGCACAGCCCCGCCGCCCCCCACCGCACACCGCACTCCTGGCCACGCCCCCGCATCCCCGCAGGCCCGATATCCATAGGGTGCCACCCGCCTGCATCGCGATCATCCACTCAGGGCTGTTGACTGCACAGATTCCGACCCTGTCGCCCACGGCCAGCCCCAGGGACTTGAGCCCCGCGGCGGCCTGGGCAACGAGCTCGTTAGCCTCGCCATAGGTCATGGCCTGTGTCAGGCGCAAGGGCGAGCCGGCGGCATGGGGAAACCGCTTGGCAGGATGCATTGAAGATGGGGATAGGGTTGGAATCTGAACAGGTGATTTCTGCCCAGGGGAAGTGCGGGCGTGACGGGAAGTGTGGTTGGGGTTGCGTGGGGCTGGCGCGTGGCAGAGGAGGCTGCAGGGTGAAAGGGGTGGGTCAGGAGGGCAGCAAAGGTGATGATGCACGAATGGAGATCAACGGGACGCGAGGGCGAGAAGTTCGCCATCGAGCGAAAGGCGGCGAGAGCACAGCGCTGAAGAGGGTGCCGTGGGGCTGGGTGGTGCGCGAAGGAACGACGCGCTGCGGCAACCCCGTTGTTTGGTGCGCAGACAGCGCGCTGAGCTGTCCGCCGCGTCAGCCAGGCAACCCCGGCAGGGAGACAGGCAGGGGCGGCGCACACTGCCTCCGGGGTTTCCTCGAATTGAGAGCCTGATAAAGCATGACCCCGAGGTTTCATGGCTTGAGAGCCTAATTTGACACAGCCCCCGGGGTTTACTCGGTTTTGAAGCCTGTCCAAAGCACCTGATAGGGACCATAGCTGCCGTCCGGCCTCGGCTCGCGCCAGGCCAGGGCGTCGCTGGCGGGTCGAGCCCGGCAGGTCCGGCTGGGGTGGGGCGGGGCGAAAGTGAATGGAGGGGCTGTGAATGGGCGAGGGCTGAGGGGTGGATGCGGAGCGGATGGCGTCAGCCCTCAATCGGCATGACTGCGGTCTGCCCTGCTGAGAGCTGGTTCAGCAAGCCGCCCATCCAAGCAACTGTTGCTGATCATGGGTCTGCACTCTGTTTGCTGAGATTTGCAGCGAGGCGGGGGCCCGCTTGATGCAGGGAGAGGCGCCCAGCTGAAGAGTCCGCCACGCCACAGACGGGTCGACTGCGTGCATTCGTTGCTGCGCGTTGCGCCGGGATGCACGCCCATGTGCGTGCACGTGCATGCACGCGTATGCGCAGCACCACCTGCAGAAACTCTGGGGACTCACTCCCACAGGTCGTAGCAGGTCTTCACACCCTCGAGTTCCTTCACGCCACCGACCGCCGCGGCGGCGCAGTACGCCGGCCCAACAGGCAGCTCGCGCTCCGGCTGTCCCGCTTCGACCTCGTGCAGAAGGGGGTAGGACATGATGGTGTCTGCGGCCGCTGCGCGGGCCACGTGCGTTCTCACTTGTCGAGTGCAGGTGACCGCCCCACACGAACGCCCGCAAGGTGTGATGTGGCGGAGCGGTGCGCAATGCACTCCTGCCGACGCCTTCGCGTCCGCGTCCCGTGGCAGCCAGTAAGATATTACTATTGTTTGTTAGGCAGCGCACTGCTACGATTGTGAGGCCTTGCTATCCTTGGCAAATGGCGATGGCAATATGAAGGTTGCACTTCCCCTGGTATGTAAAAATAAACTTCAATACAAGAGACAAAAACCGGCGAAGAATGATCGAGCGGGGCCAAGACTGCAAAGGTCGGCTTGGTCGCGCAGTTGCATGGTCATTTCACGATACTTGTGATCCGCCTCAGCCCCAAGGCCGAACCCCTACCAGCAAACTTCAAAGATCTCATATAAAAGTTGCTCCTCGCAGTGGGGCTGAGGACTGCCTGTCAGCGGAAGATGCGCCACTTGGGCGCGCGCAGTGTGTAAAATGACCGCTGCTGGTCAGCTTCAGGCGCTCGGCAGCAACACGTACTCCAAGGCGCGATCATGCATCTGAATGATATCATAGGTCGCATGGGTTCCTCTGTCAGGGCTGGTGGGCTCCGCCAGCCCCGCGGTTCCTGCATGGGCCCTTCTCAAGCGCAGGTTACCTAATGTGTGGTCAATCGACGAGCCCATGTACACACTGCCGCCGCTCACCCATTCCCGCTGTTGTTGCATGCTCACAGCTGCAGGGCACGCGAGCACCGCCCTTGACCAGTGGATGAAAGGGAGCAGTTTTGATGCCAGCACATGCTACTCTAGTGTCCACGCGCTCGCACAAGGGCCGTCGCTGCTGCAGCCCTACACCCCCTTTCTCTCGGCAGCGTGTCAACATGCACTCACAATCCGAAAAAAGGGCATCTCAAGATGGCCCAGGCACACCTCTGGGCTTTCTTGGAAGCACACAAAGGACTACCACAGCAACTTGACAACTCCATGTGGCGAGTGTGTGGCGTCAAATGCCACACGCGTGCTCTCCATCCACTTCAGCGACAATGCAGCTTGCTTGCCACCAGGCCGTCGCTTGAGCCCTCGCTCTACTTGCCGCGCGTGTTGCGAGCGCTCGTCGCCGCACTGCTCCGCCGCCGCTTCGCTACCGGAGTGGACGCCTGTTGGCGCAGCGGGAGCTCTGCGAATCCCGCAGCTGCCTCCTGCTCACGCTTGGCGGCCAGCCGCGTCCGTACACTGTGCGCCGGCGGCGCCGACCCAGGCGCGGCAGCCCCGCCGGTGGCTGCGGTACCCCCGCCGCCGCCATCATGCCCGCCCGTGCTGCGCCCCTGCTGGCCGCCTTCCCTGCGGGTGACAAACGCGTCCAACGGGCCCTTGCCAGCCGCCATACCCCGCTCCTGCGTCTTTCCACGGCCCCGGGCCACAGCCGCCTTGCCAGGCCCCCTCTTCTTCCTGCCTTTGGCAGGCCCCCTCTCATGAGGGTATGCTGGGTACTGGATAGCGTGGGACCCTTCCGTCACCTTTGCAAACTCTGTCAGGGCGTGAGGCACCGCCGGCTTGCCGGGCGTGGTGATGTGCAGCACCCCTGCACCCCTCGCCACAAGAGCGTCTGCGACCATCCGCCGGTGGCAGCTGAAGTGGGAAGCTTCCGCGCACATCATGGCCAGCGGGCCGCGTGCGGCGGAGAGGGCCAATAGCTGGTCAAGGCCGGCGGCAAAAGCGGGGGTCAGCATGTAATCTGCGTAGCCGCGGAAGCTGCATCATGGTGTCAAGGGGGGCGGCATGGGAGGCGCGGACAGGATGGGAGGTGTGCAGCATATGCATTCGTGGTTGAATGGTAGCAGGGTATGCATGGTAGGGAGGCGAGCAGGCAGGCGACAACAGGGAGTGCGGATAAACAGGCGGTCCGCAGACAGCTGCGGCCTTCCGTTCCGTTTGCTGCACACTGCAAGCACGTGGCCTGTCGTCAGCCTGCGGGGGTTCAAAGTCACTGCTGCATGATGCCGGCCGGCTCAAAGGTGGGTGAGTCATCTCTACCCCAACCCCCACATGCAAGTGACGACCGGCCCTTGTTGTCACCTGGCATTGTCCCAGCCAGCGTTGGTATCAGAGTCCTTCACCGCCTTGCGCAGGCCTGTGAAACACGAAGTGAGCCACAGCAGGATCGGCACCGGCGCGCACGGCACACGCCCAGCGACCAGCGAGTTGCGTGCTTGCACAAAGCCACGGGTAGGCCGCTGTGGCGAAGCGCCCTCTCAAACGCAGTGCAGGGCACAGTGCACCAACCTCCCAGCTCCTTGCCGAGCCACTCGTACTGCAGCCCCCAGCTGCGCGGCAGCTGCTCCTCCAAAGTGGCACGGTTGAACTGCGGATTAGTCCTGCGTAGCGCGCATGGATGCCAGAAGCAGCCGGTCGAGGTTTCGATGTGTTTGCTTGAAATGCATCGCAGCTGAACTCAGCAATCACTGCGTGCTGTACGAAAATCCGGTTGCATTGTGTGCAACACCTGCACATTGCCAGCAGGCGAGGTAGAACGGGCTAGTGCGCAACCAGCCTGGCACGGCCGGCCTGCTGTCGGGAGCCAGCAACCCACCTGCTCCTGGGCAATGTGCGTATGTCAGCGAGCAGCCGGACGCCATGCTCCTGCAGCATGGAGACCAGCTGCTCGATCGGCCGCTTGGAGTGGCCGATCGTGTATATAGTATGAACGATCGCCTGCTCTGTCGATCCGCTGCTGCTGCTCGAGGGTTGGGGTTGCTCCGCCATCGCAAGCGGCAACGGCAGTGCGTGGCGCACAGCGGGCAGCACGAGCAGAAGCTCCGTGACCGTAGCGCAGGTGTCGCGCGACAGCGCTAGCAAGAGAAATTCGACCAAGCCGTTTCAAATCGAAACAACGGCCACAACAGCACGTTTCAAATATTGTGACGGGACATGACTGAAGCATGACGTGCGCGGCTACCAGGGTGCCAATCGGTTTGCATACCACCAGCATCAAAGAAAGGCGCGAAGGCAGTGAGATGTCGCGCCACACGTTGCAGAGGGAGGGTTTGGGCTGGCAGCGCTGCGGGCTGTGGTTTGCAGGCTGCAGCTGCACAAACGAAGAGCCCTCCTCCTTCCCCGCGTACAAACCCTCAGCTGCGGCACTATTTGAGATGTGTGCAGCGCCCGCCCTTAAAGAGCGTATCATACTCTCAAGGGCAGCTGGCGCACAAGTGTCAACAAACAAGGAGCTGGAGGGTGACCCCACTTTGGCAGGCAGCCGGGCAAGCGGTTCAGGCTGGCCTCTGAAGCAGCTGCAGTCAATCATGCAAGCTGCCTTGATACGACGACAGCAGCGAAACGGCATCATCCACCATGCAAGCTCCTGAACCTTTGGAGCTTGCACAGCCTCAAACACAGCAACTTTGGGGGGCCGGGTGCGCCAATGCTGCACAGAGTTGAGTGCATGGCATGGTCAGTTCAGCCAGGCGGGGGTAGCGGCGGGAGCCGCTCCTTGCTGGTAGATGATCTGCGCGTACGCTATCACCACACTGCATGGGTCTAAGCAGTCCAGCCGTTGAGCAGCAGTGCTGATGGTGGTGCGCAACTGGGATTATGAAGCAGTTGACATGCGGTCAGCAATGATGGTTTGTGTTGCAACTGATGGCAATACTGCAGTCCACCAGCGTGGACAGGACGCATTCCACGGCGATACATCCGATCCGCAGGCAGTCGCCCCAAGCGGCAAGATGGCGATGGCGATGGCGGCGTGCCTCAGTGCCCCAATGATTGAGCGCAAATTTGCCGGAAGCGCTTCGGTGAGACGCGACAGGGCGTAGTATCATGCACTAGTAGTGCCCCTCACTGGCACTTGTGGCTGGCTCAAGGCACTTGTGGAGTGCAATGCTGATTCAAAACAATTCAGATCAACTGGTGACAGCCAACGTCACACGCGCGGGGGAAGACGGTGGCAATGGCCATGAGGAGCATACAGTACCGCATTGATATAAACCATGGTTACACGATGCATTATGATACCGGTATGAGCACAGTTTATTATTCACCCCGTGCGATCTACGATGGGATCTGCCCTTCGCCTTCGCCTTTGCATATATTTGGCCTCATGTTGCCGCGCTAGTAGGCTGGATATGTCTTTCTTGTAGGCTGTGCCTTGCACATGCTCGAAGCCATCCTGGTTGAAGCCTGCAGCTCATACACGTAGGCGTGCAACTCCTGCATGGAACGCACGCCCACGGACCGCGATGATCCACGGGGCCTGAAGGAGCAGGGCCCGGCGGGCACGCCCGCTGGGCCGGGTAGCAGCGCGCGCCCGAAGCGCATCACTGCGCAGCTCGCAGCGGAGCGCATCCGCGGCAATGCACCGCCGTGCGATCTTCTGGACCTGAAACAAACGGCGACTATGCAGCTGCTAAAAAGCCAGGAGAAGCAGATGCTCTCGCCGGGCTCGCGCCTGCAGGAGCAGACCCTGGGGCAGCGACAGCTCAACAGCGGCGGTGCGGAGGCCGTGCAGAAGCAGCGGCAGGGAGCGGTGGCGGCGGCGGGTGCTGGCGGCTCGGGCGAATCCGGTCGCAGGCAAGCGCAACGGGCAGGCAAGAAGACCGCGCGCAGGACGGCGGGCGCCGAGGCGGCTGCAGGCAGGGTTGAACCGCTGGCGGCGAGCAGCGGCGCCGCCAAGCCGTCTGTTGCAACGAAAAAGCAGCCTGTAGCTGCTGTGGCGCGCAGCAGGTCCAAGGCCACGGGCGCTGTTGCGGACGTGGCAGAGGACACGAACGTCGGCCCCACCGCCACCGAGGGTGCCGCAGGCGCCGCGGGCCCACGCAAGCGCGGCGCAAGCGCAGCCCCAGACGGCGAGCGCGCGGCCAAGACCGCAAAGCCGCTGCAACCGAAGAAAGCGCGGCAGCGGGTGCGGGGTCCTGCACGGGGCGACGAGCATGAAGAGGCGGAGCGGCAGGCGGCGGCCTCTCAGGTGGCGGGGGCCGTTGAGTGTCTGGTAGCGTGGCGCTCGGGCGGCAACGGCAGGCCGGATGTTGGCCAGGAAGAGGCCAGCGGCGTCGAAGAAGGGGAAGCGGACGAGCAGGAGAGATACGCGCGCAGCAGGAGCGCCGTCGGCAGGGCCGCCGCTGCGAAGGCCAGCGTTGGCACTGGCAAGGCTGCAGCCGTTCGGAAGGCCTCTGGACCCGGTCAGGTGCGGCTGCGCCTTCCTCAGGAACAGCAGCAGCAGCAGCAGCAGCAGCAGCAGCAGCAGCAGCAGCAGAAGAAGCAGCAGAAGCAGCAGGAAGAGCAGGTGGAGGGACAGCAGCAGCAGGAAGAACAGGAGAAGCATGCGCAGGAGGAGGAAGAGCAGGGGATGGAAGAGGAAGAGCTGCCTGCAAGGGGGCGCGCCCGTGGAAAAGGCGCCACGCGGGCCTCCAAGCCTGCTGCGCGGGTGTGCACCTCAGCCAAGGGCAAGGCCCCCACTCGCCAGAAGCGCAAACAGCCAGAGGGGGAGGAGCAGCAGCAGCCGCGGGCGGAGGATCTGCGGCGGCAGGAGGCGCAGCAGCGAATTGAGCAGCAGCAGGAACAGCAGCAGCGGGAGGAGCAGCAACAGCGGGATCAGCAGCAGCCGCAGGAAGAGGAGCGGCCGCACAATCATGACTCAGACGCTGCGAAACAGAGGCGGCGGCCGGAGCAGTGCCGGCAGCAGCAGCAGGACAAGCCTCGGCAAGCAGTAGAGCCGCCGCAAGCAGGCGAGCAGCAGCTGGAGCAGGAGGATCAGCAGGAGCTGGAGCAGCAGCAGCAGCAGCAGCAGCAGCAGCAGGAGGTGCAAATCAGGTCGACTCCAACAACCTCGCACGACACAAGTGGGCTCCAGGGGGTTGCAGGAACTGCTCGGCGCAGCAAGGCGGCCCCAGCAACCAGCTCCGACTCTGCAGGCATGTGCAGCGGTCCAGCCACGCGCACGCGGCGCGGCGGCAACGCGGTCGCAACGGGCGGCTCTCCGGCAGGCAGGGTGGGCACGCGCGCAGGTGGTGGGGGGCGGCGCACGCGGGCTGCTACATCAGTGCCGAAGGCAGCGGCGGCGGCGGCGGCGGGAGCGGCTGTGACGTCTCCCCAGAGCACTGAATCTGCCGGCGTCTCTGCAGCGCGCCGCGGCCGCGCCGCGCGCGACAGGGTGGCGGCCGCGGGCGCCGTGTTGTTCCCGTTGGCGGAGGCATTGGAGGAGGAGGACGAGGGGCGGGCGGCGCCGGCGGGCGGGGGTCCGGCGACGGCGGCGGTGGCGGGGCCGCCTTGCGGTGGCCGCGAAGCTGGGGACGCGGCGGTGGCGGCGCCGCCGGAGCAGCCAACCGGAGGGCCCGGCGCCGGTGCGCCTGCAGGCCCCATTGACGCGCCATCATCGCGCCACCCTGCCGTGCTGGACCGGCGGCGCCGTGCGGGCGTGGCGGCGGGGCCGCCGCCCGCGGCGCACGCTCAGTGGGGTGATGCGGCAGTCGGGGGTGGCGCAGGGCAGAGGGAGGACCCCAAAGCTGCAGCTCGCGACGCAGGCAAAGATGGAAAGCAGATGGGCGCTGCCGTCACTGATCACGGGCCACATTTCAGGCCCAGGCCTATGGGCGCATCCGGCTTTGGATTTGGGCTCGGTGGCGCAGTGCCCATGCCTCCACCGCGGCTCCGCGCAATGCCGCCGGCCGCCGCAGCAGCATTGACCCCGCACCCGGCGTCGCCGCCGCCGCTTGGAGCGTGCGAGCGCAGCGGCGCTGCGGGGCGCGCCAATGGCGGCGGCGCCGCCGCCTCCACGGGGACACCGCAGGACAGCAGCAGGGGGAGGCTCGAACAACTACTGGAGCACATCTTGCAAACAGGCACGCCTCGGCGGCAGCAGCAGCAGCAGCAGCCGCCGCAGCAGCCGCCGCACTCCACACCCTTGAGTGGCATCGGGCCACCAGGCGATGGGCTAGCCGGCGACGCGCCGGCAGCCGCAGAACGGGGGGCGCCGGGCTTTTCGGCAGCTGTGGCGGCGGCGAGCGCGGAGTTTGGGCCTAGCGGGTCGCGCCACTCTGGCGTATCGACAGCCGCAGAATCCCTGGGCGGGCCGCAGGGGCGGGGGCAGCGGGGCGGGCCATGGATTGGGGTGCAACAGGACCCCCCGCAGCAGCGGCAGCGGCGGCAGCAGCAGCAGCAGCAGCAGCAGCTCCTGGTTGAAGGCGGCGTGGAGGGTGAGGATCAGCCACTGCGACCGCCGCGGGATTTGCTGCCGGCAGCCCCTGCGATCCGGATCAAGACGGAGCCGCACGCGTGGCCGCAGGGCGCGGGCAGCGCGGCGGGTCCGCAGAGGCAGGGGGCGGGCGGGCCGGGCGTTGGCGCCGGGTCGCCGGGTGCTTCTCCTGCGGCTGGTTTCTTGGGTGTCGGGCACTCGCCCGGCCAAGGGCCGCTGGCTTGGTGTGCTGACGCCGAACAAACAGGCGCCACGGCGCGGCCAGGGCTGCAGGCTGGCGGCGCGGCGGGCCCACACCC